GGGTGCTTTGTCTTCCCTTCGCCCCCGTGGCAGCGCTGCTGCTGCTGCATTGGGAAGAAAAAGGTCTTGGGCATCCACGCGTTTCTGTGCGTGCACACACACACGTATGCACACGTGTGTGTGTGTGTTCGCTCTGCTCCGCTTCCCCGTCGGGAAGCAGTGGGATTCGGTGCTAATTTAAGACATCATCCAAGCCTCATGCGGAGCCCGTGGATGAAGCAGGGACATCCGCCTTTGGGATTATCTCCCTGGATCCTATGCCCTTGGGTAGACTAGGCAGAAAATACAGGTTTATCTCGAAAACACCCATCGAAGCGCACGCATAGGGACTATTCAAAAAGACCTTTTGTGCTAAGAGGTCGTGGGGTTTTTGGTAACGCTCAGGCTGTGACTTTTTTTACTGTTCTTAATTAAATTTTCTTTTTCATAAGTAAAGGGTTTCACTCACAGCGTTCTTATGCCAAATATTGCAGCAGGGAGCGTCTCTAGGACAGACGCAAGGTGAAAGCAGCTGGCTGCCCAGATGAAATGAATGACTGTGTCTGCATTGCCTGAGCCAAGCAAGCATACAATGGGGAGACTGCCCATTTTTGGCATAAGAAGGTCTGAATAACAACCTGACAGCAGGAAGATGTGTAGAGCTGTTGGATCTTTAAAGACTTTAATTTTCATTCTGGCAGCCACCCTTTGCCCAAGAGGAGGCAGCAGCTTGATTCTGGTGTTTCTCCTCTCACCTTCTCATCCTTCCCCCATCTGCCAATGCTGAGGAGTGGAGGTAAATCACAGCCCTGCTCTATTCCTGTCACCAGCACACAGGGTCTCCCCTGGTCCTTTTGTCCAGGTGCCATGACCTTCCAGGGATGCTGTGATGTAAAGAACTTTACTCCTCTCTCCTCCTAAGATGGATGTCAAGGGCAGTGTGCTCAGACCCTGTTTCATTTTGGGTCATATCCTGGAGGCTGGAAAGAATCCTGTCCCTGGGTCACGCTGGGCATACTCAAGTATACTGGACCCGAGATTCAGTGCCCTGGGGCCCCTAAGCTGTACCCAGCGTGGGAGCCTTTGAGCTGCAGTTGGTTGTATAAGCTGGCTGGGTGCCAGGATCACCTATGGCATGTTCAGTGCTGGGGGGTGAGGGTGTAGATGGGGAAACACATCTGTTCTGCAGATGAGAGCTATGAAGTCATTCAGAAATGAGGGAGAGCTCATGAAAATAGTTTAGCTGGCCTCCTCCCTCTCTCAGCCCTAGACCCTAGATCAGTCCCCATCCCATTTTCCTTGGTAGAAGCTACTATGACCATAAGGGGATAAAAATGCTCTTTCTTCTCCTCATTTCCCCTGTTTCTAGCTAAATAGCTGCCTTCTCTCCCTCCCTCTTCCCCCCATGCTCCTCCCACCAAGCCTGTAACGATGGAGCTGTTTTACAGCTGCTTTATAGCCCTTTTGTTACGAGGTTAGTTTACATGTGAGAAATGACCAGTTTGATTATATCAGTGTAATTCCAGAAGCTAGGTATGCTGGTAAAATTCCTCATGTGGCTACTACAACTCTGGAAGAACAGATTTCTTCCTCTCGGTTGTTTTCTTTACACTCTCCCTCCTCCTCTGCCCCTGTGTAACTTTGACAGTGACATAAGCTATTGCGGAGGAGAAAAATGCAACTCCAACCCCACATTCTTACTCTGCAAGCAGCATGTCCATATGGGGAGTGTTACCCGTCTAATTATACCACCAAATCTCTGTTGGGAATTTTTCCTGCATAGACAAGTCTTTTTGTTAGATTGTCTTCTAGCCAAGACAGAACATTGTACCTTTCTGCCAAAGTGCTAGATGAGAATATCTAACGCTTTGGAATGGGCAGGACTTTTCCTTGCCTGATCTCTGGATTAGAAGCTATTTCTCACAGCTCTTTTGCTGGGGGGGGGTATTGTGTCCAAATTCTCCGGCAGCTGAGAGTATCATACCCTCAAAACATTTAATTAGGAAAGCAGACCAGAGGCAGCCTATAGCCAGGATGCAGCAGAGCCAGTCCCAAGCTCAGCTACTTGCCTGGGTTCAGTGAAAGCAGCAGGATACTTGGTGTCCAGGTTTTTTCCTTTCTAACCTTTGATTCCAGAAGGAAAAATTTAAAGTACTCACTCTGTAGAGATCATTTTGCTTCCCAAATGTGGGGAATCTGTCAGCCTTGCCAGCTCCTCCCCATCGGAAGGTATGTCTGTAACCCTCTAGTTTCTACCCTTGGGAAAGGGAGGAGTTGGGGTGGCCACGTAAGCTGCCTGGCCTGATTTTAATGCCTCCCTCAGGAAACTAGGGCATGGCAGGACGGTGGTCTTTTCTGAATCCTGGGTATCTGAGTGGGATTCTGTTGTTAATTCAGGAGAGATTTCTATTGGGAAAGGAAGCTGCTGTTAATTCAGGAGAGATTTCTGTTGGGAAAGAAGCATTCCCAGCTTGACCATGCTCTTCTCCATGGTCTCAGCTCTCGTATTCCTGTTGGCTGACCTTTAGTGCCCCTTCACGCATGGGGGCAGCAGAGGGATGTGTCCTTCGGGCAGGTTTGAGGGAGGCAAGGGGATGGGGATGATGTGTGAGGGACACACTGCTTGCACCCCATGTGCTTGACACCCACAGGGTTGAGCCCCATTGGGCACTTGGGCTCAAGCCTGACAAAGGGCTACGAGTACCAGCAAGCACGAGGCTGTCATGATGGAGATGGAAATTGGTGATTCAGGGTTCAGTGACCTGTCTCATTAGGGTCAGTCCTGCCTGCTCCTTTCGTCATGCATGCCTGATCGGGCAGGCTGTCACTCAGCCAGGGCAAACAAGCGTGTGCAGAGGGAATGTTGTGTCACAGTTATAGAAGGGAGCCAGGAGCCAAGCTGAGCCAACTTGCTGCTTAAAACTTCCGCTCTGCATGCTGGTGGCCATGGCTCAGAGGATTGTCTTCCCGTACCTCAGTTTGTCTGTGAGTGGGAAGTGTAAGAGGGATAAGAGGCTTAACAGCAGGCATGGAATAGGAGCTGTAAGTCTAACTGGAAGTAACTCACCTGACTGTTTCCATCCACTGATCTCCAAGCACATTGGTCTTGCCATATCTCAGCCTGGAAGGTGAGGCAGGAGAGATAAGGAGGCACCCTAGAGGAGTCCCCCTGTGGATTTTCCTGATGTTCCCACAGTGATCCCTGGTGGGGTGACACAAAGAAGCAGGATTTCACAAGCAGCCCAATGATTTATTATAAAGCTGTGTTTCAGACTATATTTCTTTCACCTCTTTGTTCGTTCACAAGATTTCCTTTATTGTTGTCTGCTTATGCACAAGCCCAGGACCACAAACACACTGAGAAATGCCCACTGACCAAACTGAAGGAAAATTCAAATCCTTGCAGTCTGCAAATGATCTCATCAAGGCCACTGTGGAAAAGAGATTGATTTTCAAGTCTTTTTCTTTACTTTTTGCACCCTATCTACCATTCACCTCCTCTCCCCAGAAAGACAAGGCCTCCTCCCTCTCAGGCCATGACTCCATGTGACCAGAGCAGGCTCTTGCTCTCTCTGACAGAGAGGGACTCTTTGTTAGGAGCTGCAGTGACAGGACAAGGGGCAATGGGTACAAATTGAAAGAGGTGAAATTTAGGCTAGATATTAAGAAAAAAAATTTTCCTGTAAGAGTGGTGAGACACTGGCACAGGTTGCCAGTGGATGCCCCAACCCTGGCAGTGTTCAAAGCCAGGTTGGATGAAGCCTTGAGCAATCTGGCCTAGTGGGGAGGTGTTCCTGCCCATGACAGGGAGGGTTGGGACTAAATGATCTATAAGGTCCATTCCAACCCCTATAAATTCTGTAATTCTTGGTGCCAAGGGCTCAGCTGAAGGAATGGAGCCTGGCAGGGAAATTGCAGGCTTTGAGTCTTCACACTGCCAGCATAGATGCTTGTGTTTCTGTTCCCTGCACTGGTAACCACCAACTTCTTGTTTTGTTTTCCTTTTTTCCTTTCTTGAAAACATCCACTGCTGCTTCTCCAAGGAGTTCTCCTCAACTTCCAGCACCACTGCTGTTGGCACCGTCACCTCCCGGGTGACCAGGAATGGGAATGCTGTCATGGAGAAGGACTTACTCAATCATGAGGACTTGGCAGGAGACCGGGGCATGGTAGATGATATCTTTGATGAGACCTATCGGGAGAAGGAGGGTCCCAAGCCCCCGCTGCGATACGTCTGGAGGAATATCATCCTCATGAGCCTGCTGCACCTAGGGGCCATATTTGCATTGACGCTGATACCTTCTGCAAAGATCCAGACATTGGCATGGGGTAAGCACATTCCTCTATCTGTTTCTTGGCATCTGCAGACCCCAGATCTCTTGGGTGGGATTGTTTTTCCTCCAGGTTTACAGACTCAGGGACGAGAAAGAAGGAAGTGGAGGTCTTCCGTTAGAAGAAGCTGTTCAGCCAGCTTCGTAGCAAGCTGTGGGAGGTCTTGCTAGTGTCTCTTGCAAGGTCATACATGAAAGGGAAGGATTTGGCAGGGGCCTGCTTAGCTGCTCAAAGAATAAACTTGATTCACAGACATTAGGCTTGGAAGTAGCTCACACCTGAATGTGCAGCTGCTTCTGGGATGAAGCACAGAAAATGTTTGATGGAGTACTGTGATAGTCCCAGAAAGTTAGGAAGAAAGATGCTAACAAGAGCCTTTAAGGAATGGCTGGGAAGGCAAGGTACAGGGCACTATTTGGCATAAGACTGCTGCCCAGAGATGAGAACCATTCCTGTCTCTACCAGGGAAGGGTAAATCCTGCAAAGCCTCCACATGTATGTGAGGGGAAGAGACAAAATACAGTTGTGCTGAAGATAAAAGTCAAGAATTAAGCCTGAAGCTCAGGTCTATTATCATTCTTAAAAAAGCATAGATTAGCCTTCATCATCCCGGAACTGAGCCTGACAACTTTCAAAAAATAAATAAGCGTCTCTCCAGGCAGCAAATTCCAGTGGAAAGCACAACCCAGCAGAAGGTAACTAGGCAAAGCTCTGCTTTCTCAGAGACCTTGCCCTGGATAAGAACCAAACTTCTCCTCTGACTGCTTGAAAGACAGATGGGCCCAGGGCCCACACTGTGGGGGAGACTCAGTTTCCATGAGCCTTTGTGTGGACCCCTGGAGAAGTCCAGAAGCCAAATGTCTCCCAGTGGGGAAGTTGAGAGATTGCATCCAGCCCCTGCCTCCCTGTGAAACAGAACGTCCTGAAACGAAAAGTAACAGCCTAATTTGAGACCTGCTGGCATGGTTTTTGGTTTCAGTGGTGCTCCTGCAAAGTGCTCGGCTGGGAGCAGCTTCCCAGCCAGGCTGGCTGTGGATGGGCCCTGGAGCAATCCACCTGGTCTGTCATGCTCTCAAAGCCAGTCCTGATGGTTGTGTGCAACAGGCATCACAGCTGAACAGGGAAGGAGATGGCTTTCTGGATAGCCTGGTTGACTCCTCCTCCTGGACCATATCAGCCTCTCACAGGCAGAGTTTTGGGGATGAACATCACTGGAGGCTACAGCCAGAGTCTGGCTGCAGCATCCACAAAAGCAGAGGCACCGGTGTGTTCCCTGTGCAGCCAGCACAGCCCTTATGAAAGAAGACTTTGCTGGGCCTTTCCCTTGTGAAAACCTGACAGGCTGCACTTTTCCCTGGCCTGGCAGGGCTGGGCAGAACATGCAGCCTCAGCATGACCTTGGAGGAGCATTTCAGGGCTCTCAGTCCTGTTCTGTGTGTGCCATCCCTGGGCTCTCAGCTGGAGGCTAGGCAAGGACTGCTCATTTCTTTCACTCACTAGGCTGACAGACTGGGTCTTCCAACCCCAGTCAAATATCCTCAGGGCACTGGGGCAAGGAGAAGGGAACAAGCGAGTCAAATTTACTGGTTTCATTTCAAGCTGCTGAGATGCACTATGATTTCCAAATCAATCCAACGCTTCTCCCCTGAGTTCCCTTGGGATACTTAAGTGGGCTCGAGCATCTTTATGCAGAAGATTAATGCTGTTTTGCATCCTGCTGAGCCCCACCCTTCCCAAAAAGGGTCTCTGAGGCAGTGTCTTTGCAACCACATGCCTCTTCGGGATGTCTGTATGGCATCCCATGGCATTTCATGGGAATCTGCCTTGCTTTTTACCCGGTGTCAGTCCTTCCTGCTCCCCTCACTCAGTCAACTCAGATGTGAAGTGCCAGTTGCTCTTCTGCCACTGTGAGGCACTGTGAGATTCCTTGGTGGCTTCTGGAGTGACATGCTCTGGGAATGGCAGAAGGTCGTGGGGTTTGGGGGAACTGCACTGTTGTGGATTGGCTGAAGATCCATCCTGCCTTACCAAAGCTGGAGTAGCTCCACAGAGCTCCCTGTCCTGCATCCCTGTTCTGGGAAAGGACCACCCTTCACAGCACCTTGCCGTCAAGTCAGCATGCACCTATAGTCCATTCTCCTCCAGTGCTGACTGGAACTGGGATACTCTGATCCTCCACAGGTCTGCCTTCTCAGCAAGGCTCCTTGCTCCTTGCATTGCTCTCTTCTCAGTTCATACCTTTCTTTAGCACATACAGGGCATCTGTAACTGTCATCTCAGTGACTGGTTGTTACTCTCCCAGCACCCCTTGGAAGCAGGGAGAAGACTACAGTTCTCATTTTACACACAAGGATAGCACAGCAGAGACTTATTTTGTTCCCGGCAGTATACCATGGGCTCATGGCAGAGCAGTTCTACAAGTGGTAGTTCTGGAGCTGCTGGGGTTTTTGTTTTCATTTCTTTCTTTGTTTTTCAGATCGTTCCTTCCTTAGGCTGTGTACATAAACTACAAAATTAACAGGGCCCTAGATGTTCTCTGTTGTGATGCCACAGGCAGCTGTGGTGCCTGGTAGCTCATCTGCCTTCTATATTTTATTATAAGGAGCAATCCCCTGCTTACACCCTCTTCATCCAGGCCACCATCTCCTTGATGTTCCTGTCCCTCTGAAACCAGTTATGTTGGTGACTGTCCTCTTTTGTTTTCATTTCTGTGTGCTAATTCCTCTTTGTCCCTCAAGCTCTCCAGCCCTGCCTTCATCATTGTTTGCTGTTCTGCGTTGCTGTGTGCATTGTATCCCCTGATCTCTTTCTGGTACAGAGCTTCCCAGAACAAGCTCGGGTTGTTGATCAGGTGAGAGCTCACCATAACAAGAGCTCTCTGAGCCCCTCCAGCACTGGTTTTCTAGTTAGCTCCCCTTTTATTTACTGTCCTCTCCACTCTGCTTGTCAGAGTCTTGCATGGTCTTTTCAAGGATCACAGGCAGATTTTACATCATTTGCCGAATGGTGCAGAGACTTAGTCTGGAAGGGTAGGGTGCAAAGGTGATTGATATTTTCTTCTCTAATTGCTTGGATCCTCCCTTGAAATGTGATTTGTGGGTTGTCTTCTTGGCTCTTGGGTGCAGCAGACTGACAATATTTTTGTTAACCCCTGGCCAACAGTATGTGCAAAACTGTGATAGTTTCTCTTGACATGGTGCTCTGTCAACACCTTGGTTCCCTGCAGTGCCAGCAGTGCTAGAAACACGGGTTGGTACCATTTTTTGTTGCTGCTGTATCATCTTTGGACCAAGACAAATCTCGCTGGATAATTTATGCAATTCTGATGGCCTGAAAATCTCAGCCAGTACTATCCCCAGGGATGTGTCCAGCAAAATGTTTACATTTTTTGTTACTTTCCCATCAAGACTACTGCTGGCAACACCTTCCCACTTAGTGTTCTCTCCAGGCTGAACTAGCAGGTGGTGTGCTTCTCCTCCAAGCATGGCAGGAAAATTAGGTTTTAGTGACAGCATTGATAGCTCCTCCTAAACACTGTTCCCCTTATGCAGCCTGCACATGTTTCACTGCTTCTGGTATCTTTCTCCTGAGAGAGCAGGACTCACCTGGCTACCAGGACTGGGTGGCAAGGACAGAACAGTCTTGCACTGAGCAGAAGCCCAAGGACACCTGCTGGAGCAAGAACACCTCTACATGTAAACATCCTTGGTGTTGACTGCAGGTGACAATGCTTTTAGCACATTCCTGGCTTCCCATCATAACTTGGGGTCTGAATCTGAGCCCTGAAGAGGTAAAGGCTAGTGAGTCATAGACATGACTGAATCCAGAATGTTTTGTTTAATTTTTGGAACATTGAGTGCTTATTACTGCCAGTGGTCATAATTGTTTGTGTTCCAGTTGAATAGGTCACTGGGAACATCACCTGTGAGTTGACAGTCTTTTGTATCTTGTATAGTTCAAAGCATGGTGTGGAAGATGGCTTTGAATCCTCAGCTGATTAGCTGTGTCCCTAAGTCCTTCAGTTTGGGGCAAAAATCACAGGGCAGCTGCTACTTTATTTCACCTTCTCTACACTTTTTCCAATTGAATTCC